TTTTTTAAAAAAAGGTTAATTGTATATTTTTTCTATTTTTCATTTGTATTGACATTGGGATACAATCTCCTTGGTTGAAAGTTTGAGAAACATTTAAATCTTTCGATAATGTTTTTATGTCATAATTAATATCACACCATAATATTTCTTACTTTGAGAATCGGAAACGTCGCAGTGAAAATGAATATAATACTTGATGGGTTAGAAAATATGGTTTTAGAAGAGAATATAGACAATAAAAAATCAAAACAGGAGGATGATTTCGTCGATCCTTGGAATGTAGTAAGCAAATCTGCAGCTGGAGTTGATTATGATAAACTTACCCAAAGATTTGGAAGTTCTAAAATTGATACAGAACTTATTGCAAGAATTGAAAAAATAACTGGAAAACCAGCACATCATTTGTTAAGAAGAGGAATTTTCTTTTCTCACCGGTATGTATTGAAAAAAATAGTATTTAGTTAATTATATCTCTGTATTTTCTTTATTAAATATTTTCTACTACAATATTTTTATTAAAAACTTACTTTTTAAGATTATTATATTAGTAAAAATAATAACTCTCTCACTAGTCACCACCCTTTCCAGGGGAGAAAGCTCAGTAGTTTATAGTGTAATGTTGGAGGAAGCATAAGCTCTACCAGTAGGATCACCAATGACAGCAAGGTCTATGGGAAGAAATGAAGCTAAGAGTGGCTCATAAGTAGTGTCTGATTCAGATTGGTCAGTGCTTAATAGCAACTGTTCTGTTCTCCACATTAGGAGTAGTTCATTTATAAACACCTGGCTTTAGGTATATAAGCATAGCTACTTCTGTGCAAGAAACAAAAATGGATGTGACATGTTCTCAGAATAATATCAGTTCAGACATTGCTTGAATAAACAAGCTACGCATTCAAGGATTAGGCAGTGGGGAGTGTAGCACTAGTCCAAGTATGGCAACTGCATCACAATCATCATCTCATTCACAAATAATGGAATCAAAACTCATCCAAAGTACTTCAATGACAAATCATCCAGCCACTGAGTGCAAAGGCTAGAAAAACATTATAACAAATGAAGCAGGCACAGGAAATAAGTGAATTCATCATCTGTACATGTTACTCTATCACAAAAGCTAAAGCAGACATGAAAGCATATAGACAATGTTTACATTGTAAATTTCACCCAGGCATAACCACATCTCACTTTGAACAAAGGATTTGTTAGAAAACACCAATTATACTCAACAAACTTATTTCATAAACAATGTTTGACATATCAAACAACAAGTTATAAAACAAATGCATCAAAACACAAACACTAAATCACATTGATGATCAGATACTCATTTATGATAGCTGAACAACAATCACTAACAAAAACAGAATAACAACTCTCAACAAAATCATAAACACAGTAATTACATTACAGACGATACAATAAATGTGTATGTGTTAATTAATTGATTAACACATATACATTTATTCCAAGAAAAAATACTTAATAAAAAAATAGATTTAAATTCCATATAAAAACCTTGACTACCCAAACTACATAAATCAAACAACTAGGGAAACCTTATATTATCTAAATACACACATACAATAGAATCTGCTTACTATGATCACTTTGGGACTTGCAACTTTTGATAACAATAACTGACTGATAACATTAAACGGAGGATAAAAATTTTCATTATTGAACTCAATTTATTACAATTACAATATGAATATGGACAATTTATATATATCACAAACTGCACACTTAATACATTATACATTTATCTAAATATATAAAATTACTTGTCCTGACTGACTTAGTCACTGATTCATCATCGCCCAGAGCAAACCGCTGAACCTAAAGAGGTGAAATTTAATACATAGTCAGGGTACTTCATGGAAACACACACTAAGAAAGGATTTTTCGAAATCCCCAAGTGAGGGGGAGAGGGAGAGCATTAAGATTTAACCGGAAGAACGGCTTCTACTGTACTGTTTTAGATGCAATTTTTTGTTTTCAACTGAGTGTTAGTAGGGTACACCATGGGAATGCACACTAAGTAGGGATTTTTCGAAATTCTCCAGCAGGGGGAGAGGGAGAGCATTAAGGCTTAACCTGAAGAATGACTTTTGAAATTGATTCCATACTTTCCCTTAAATTGATAACATTTTAGACATTGTTATAAATATTTTCATATATTTCGATTTTTTAACCAAATGTTCGAACCGTTTTAAATTCGAATTTGTTATTGCATATTAGTTCGATTATAGAATGATTGTAAATGTTCCAGAAAATTGATCAAATTGAAAACAGTTTGTTTGATTCTCAGCAATTCTCATTATTCTCGGCGGTAGGTGTTATATAACAATTAATTTGGTTGTTGAAATACTGAATATAAATGGGGTTTGCTTGCAAAACCTCCATGGGCAAAGTCGCGGGTAACAGCTAGTATGTAATATTTATATACACGATATATGCTACATTTCTTACAAACAATTGTTTTTAACTCAATAGATAACAAAATTAAACTAGAGAAATTGCAAGAGGAATGTTCATCCCCAAAGGTATGATTCAAGTAAAGATCTAGAGAAGGTATTTTCTAATAATTCCTGTTAGGCTCTTACAGCATGTAGTATGCTTCAGTTGAAAGTAAGTTTCAAAGAAAAGGTCTATTTAGTATGAATTTTCTAAGAATTCTTATTGTTTTCCCTGAAGTGTAATTGTCACAATTGATAAAAATAGCTGAAGTTTAATTATATCAGACAAATTATTTTAAACTAATTTTACATATGGTGTTTTGGGACCAACTGATTATGATTACATTAGCCAATTGATAACATTATTTGTGATTGTAATAACTGAATTCTACTATATTACCAAAATACATGATACAAAATACATTCAACCAGAATCATCAATTGCAAATATAAGGTAAAGGCACTAAAGCTTGACAGCACACTAATGGTTGACATTTCCAAGATATTTTCTCAGGAAAAAATCTCTACAAATAAGTACCGTGTTTCCCCGAAAATAAGACCTAGCACAGATTTTGCTGAATTGCGAAATATAAGACCTCCCCCTGAAAGTAAGACCTAGCGAAGTTTTTTTTTAGTCGTAACGGTCATTGACAGATGGTTGAAAGTGACCGTTGGCTTTTTGAAAGTACAGCCACTGATTGGTCATCAGACAATTACGCCACACGGCATGATTTGCATAAGACTATGGCTTGGGAATCACAGATTTGCATAACGTTACGGCTGGTGATGGCTAATTGGTCGGCCGGGAATCACGCCACATGACATTTGCATAGTGCTACGGTTCAGTAAGCACTAATTGGTCATCGAGTCCGATGTTGACGCTATAAAAAGGCGACAGTTCGACACACCGGATATACGTCACTCTCGTCTAAGTTCGACTTGGGAATTTTTTTGTTCAATAATAAATGTGAATTCTTCTTCCTGGAAAAAATAAGACATTCCCTGTAAATAAGATCTAGTGCATTTTTCATAGCAAAAATTAATATAAGACACTGTCTTATTTTCGGGGAAACACGGTATGTATTATTTAGAACAGTGATTCCCATGGGTACACACTTGGTGGTTTAGGAGTATGCGAAAAATAAATTAATAATGGCAGATGTACTATGAAACATCAGTTACAATGAAAATATAGAACTTAATAACTATTCTTTTTGATGGTGCAGCTTCACATATAAATTGTAATCTATAATTCAATAAAAAGTTATCATATTTACTTGCATATAAGATGAGGCTTTTAATCATTTTTCACTGCTTCAAAAACCTAGGTCGTCTTATACGTGCGAGTGAAAGATTCTTTGTATTTTTTCAATAATTTTTGTAAACTGTGTATTCACATTTTTTATGAGATTCTCGCCTTCTGGTGTTTAAAAACAAAAGTATTTTATCTGGATCGTTTGAATCATTCTTGTGTATTGTTAGGAGTAAAGATGAATAGCAATGGAAAAGCAAAGCTTTTGAATTGAATTCCAAAATTACATGTGAGCCTGATATAAATTTTAATTCATTTCCACCTGAAAACAGATGATTATTTGGAAATCAGAATTTGGAGAAACTCATAAGTGTTATTGACAGAGAATGAATTTGACTGTTAAGAATTGGGAAAAAAAAGGTTCCCAATTGTCCAACTTTACATGAACAAATTATGTTGTCGATTTTACAAGATTTTTCCTTAAAGTTTAAAATGTCAGTAATTTTTGCAGAACAATGTGTGCATTTATGTGCATTTGATATTTTATTTGTGATTAAATGAAATAAAATTAGAATTGTATTAATAAATCTAATTTTCTTTATTTTGATCTTTAAAGTCACACCTCATCCTATATGCAAGATCATCTTGCATATAGTTGAGTGAATATGCTAAATTTTAAGTATTTATATTTATAATGCTCACATATATAGGTTTCTATTTAAGTTTGTAATTTACTTCTGTATGTCATTTATGTCAGTCATTTTAATACTATTTTAAAGTTTTCTATCTTAATATTGCAATATTTAAATAATGTATTTTGAAGTTTGAGATATTTAACTCAAATAATAAAATTCATATAATATAAAATAATCTAGTATTTGTTTGACACAATTTCTATAAATTAATATTTTATTTATTGTATAAAGTACAGTAGAGCGTCGATTATCCGAATAAATTGGGGACTGGGGTTGTTCGGAAGATCGATGTTTCGGATAACCGATTATGTACGGAAAAATATATTAATTTATCCCATCTTGACATTTTTCTCTGTTGCGTGTCGCTTCATTGCAGTTTGAAA